GAGGCAAGGGAAACAAAAGCAAAAATGTACTGGGACCTCACCAAGATAAAAAGCTTCTGCACAGCAAGGAAACAATCAGCAAAACTAAAAGACAACTGATGGAATGGGAGAAGATATTTGCAAATGACATATCAGATAAAGAGCTAGTATCCAAAATCTATAAAGAACTTATCAAACTCAACACCCAAAAAAAAACAATCCAGGGAAGAAATGGGCAAAAGACATGAATAGACACTTCTCCAAAGAAGACATCCAGATGCCAACCGACACAGGAAAAAATGCTCCACATCACTCATCCTCAGGGAAATACAAATCAAACCCACAATGAGATACCACCTCACACCCGTCAGAATGGCTAACATGAACAACTCAGGCAACAACAGATGTTGGCGAGGATGCAGAGAAAGAGGATCTCTTTTGCTGCTGGTGGGACTGCAAGCTGGTGCAGCCACTCTGGAAAACAGTATGGAGGTTCCTCAAAAAATTAAAAAAATAGAACTATCCTACGAACCAGCAATTGCACTACTAGGTATTTATCCAAGGGATACAGGTGTGCTGTTTCGAAGGGACACATGCACCCCCATGTTTATAGCAGCACCATCAACAATAGCCAAAGTATGGAAAGTATGGAAATAGCCAAATGTCCATCGATGGATGAATGGATAAAGAAGATGTGGTACATATATACAATGGAGTATTACTTGGCAATCAAAAAGAACGAAATCTTGCCATTTGCAATTACGTGGATGGAACTAGAGGGTATTATGCTAAGCGAAATTAGAGAAAGACAAATATCATGTGACTTCACTCATATGAGGACTTTAAAACACAGAATAGATGAACATAAGGGACGGGAAGCAAAAATAATATAAATACAAAACATAAGAGACTCTTAAATATGGAGAACAGAGGGTTACTGAAGGGGTTGTGGGAGGGGGGATGGGCTAAATGGGTAAGGGGCATTAAGGAATCTACCCCTGAAATCATTGTTGCACCATATGCTAACTAACTTGGATGTAAATTAAAAAAAAATGCTTTGGGGCACCTGGGTGGCTCAGTCGGTTTAGAATCCGACTTCGGCTCAGGTCATGATCTCGCAGTTCGTGAGTTTGAGCCCTGCGTCGGGCTCTGTGTGACAGCTCAGAGCCTGGAGCCTGCTTCAGATTCTGTGTTCCCCGCCCCACCCACCCCGCCGTCCCACCCCTGCTTGTGCTCTGTCTCTGTCTTTCAAAAACAAATAAACATTAAAAAAAAATTTTTTTAATGCTTAAATGAAAATAAAACCCACAGAAAAATCACTTTTACCTTCTCAACAAAAATAATAATAAGCAACCCAACAGACAAAACGGCAAAGAATATAAATAAGCAAATGGCCAACAGATGGCCAGCTCAACTCTATGAATGATTTGAGAAATGCAAATTTAAATGATCAGGCATAATTTCCTGTCCTTGGATCAACAATTTTTTTGTACTCATCATTTTGGAGGAATCGACAATTTTTTAATTGATAATTTTTTTTAAAAAGGCTTCAAACCCAACGCAGGGCTTGAACTCACAACCTTGAGATCAAGACCTAAGTTGAGATCGAGTCAGATGCCTAACCAAATGAGCCATCCAGGCACCCCTAATTGATAATATTATTAAATGAACAAACATATGTACCATTATTGGAGGAATTATTAAACTATAAAGGAAGGTAATGTATGATTAACAATATTTAAATTCTGTACATCTTTTAACACACCACTGCAAATCCTAGAAATTTTTTCTAAAGACACACATACAGGGATGCCTGGGTAGCTTAGTCAGTTGAGCATCAGATTTTTTTTTTAATATAACTTATCGTCAAGTTGGCTAACATACAATGTATACAGTGTGCTCTTGGTTTTGGGGGTAGATTCCCGTGATGCATCACTTACATACAACACCCAGTGCTCACCCCAACAAGTGCCCTCCTCAATGCCCATCACCCATTTCCCCCTCTTCCCCAGAGCCCCCCATCAACCCTCAGTTTGTTCCCTGTATTTAAGAGTCTCTTACGTCTTGCCTCCCTGTTTGCAACTATTTTCCCCTTCCCTTCCCCCATGGTCTTCTGTTAAGTTTCTCAAGTTCCACATATGAGTGAAAACATGATATCTGTCTTTCTCTGACTGACTTATTTCACTCAGCATAATACCCTCCAGTTCCATCCACATGAGCATCAGATTCTTGATTTTGGATCATGTCATGATCTCACGGTTCATGGGTTTGAGACCCACATCAGGCTCTGCTGACAGCGTGTAGCCTGCTGGGATTCTCTCCCCCTCTTTCTCTGCCCCTCCCTCTCTCTCTCTCTCAAAATAAATAAATAAACATTAAAAAATAAATAAAGACACACATACGAAACCTCAGGCAACATGTTTACCCAAACTGAAGAAGACATCTGACTTCTCCTCACCTAGTGCCAAATTCTCAGATGCCAGAAACAGAAAGAAAATGTGAAATCTGAATAACAAGGATGTGAACTGATAGGTCAAGGCTGGTGTCTGACCTGGACAGAGACCCTCAAAAGCTGTTTGTTTATTTATTTATTTATTTATTTATTTATTTATTTATTTATTTATTTGTTTGTTTTGCTTTGTTTTGAGAGAGAGACAGACAGAAACAGAGAGACAGAGAGAATCTTAAGCAGGCTCCACACTCAGCACAGAGCCTGACATGGGGCTCGATCCCATGAACCTGGGATCATGACCTGAGCTGAAATCAAGAGTCCAATACTCAACCGACTGAGCCACCCAGGCTCCCCAAAACCCGAGTTTTAATGCCGGTTGAAAGGCACAAAATACGGCCTTAGACCTTCATGAATTGGGAAACCAGGGGCAAGACCCTTGCGTATCACTGGGCCCTTAAGGCTGCTGGCTCCATGAATAGAAGAACCTAGCAGGCAAAGAAGCAATCCAGGTCTAGGCAGGCGAAATCAACTTTCACAAAAAATTAAAACTCCAAGATACATGTAGACATAGAATCCAAACTGTGGTAAGGAAATCCCAAGTCAGAAAATTAATGTAAAAATTTAGTACTAAACCCACTGAAAAATCCGTGGCACAAGCTATCATAAAGTCACTCAACAACCCAGGAATGAGACACAGAAAATAACTCTACAGAAGATAGATTCACAAAACTCACGATAAATAATTAAACCCCATGGGGAGACAGTTCACCGCGAAAGGAAATCAGTGCCAGTAAAGAGAAACATTGGCACGCAAGGAAATCTGGCATAGTACAATAATCAAAAGAAGACTAAAATTAACTACATCTAAAATTACTGTAGGGACAAAAAGAGTAGAATCCATAATGAAAGAACAGAACTCTAAAAAAAAGAAAAGAAAAGAAAACAGACATATTGAAAAGAGCAGAACTTGTAGGAATCGGTAGAATCATTAAATTAGGGACGGAAAGGGGGAAACAAAAATAAATCCAAACGTGGCACAGCAGTGAAATTACAAAACACCAAAGATGAAAACAAAATAATAAAAACATCCAGTTTGGGGAGGGGGGAGAGGGGGGAATTTTACTACCCACAAAGAAATAACTGATGAGACCAAGAAAACATGTCTTTTTAGCAAAACCAGAAGTCAGAAGATAAGGGTGCATAATATTGTCCAAGGGCTGTTCGTACTCAACATACAATTCTGTACTCAACTAAACTGTTATTCAGAGTTAGACCAGACAAAAGGGACCGGGACACAGAAGACATAAACACATCTATATATGAAAACACATTGATATAAAGGACATTTACAGAACCCTATATCCAAAAATGAGACACTACATTCTTATCGAGCATCCCTAGAACATTTACATAAACAGGATCACTTACTGAGCCAGAAACGAGGTCTCAACTTGTAACACAAAATAGAATGAATAAATAAAATTGGAAATCAGGAATAATAAAATGCCCAAACTCTATCTACCTCATCCCCTTCAAACTATTTTTTTAGAACAAAGATACTTAACACAATTTTACAAAATCAAATCCGATAGTATATAATCATGACCAAGTGGACTTTATCCAAGGAATGTAAGGTCAGATTACCATTTGAAAATCAATCAATACAACTGACCCTAGTAAGACCGAAATAGAAAAAAAAATCACATGATCCTATTAATAGGTACAGAAAAACATTTGGCAAAATCCAATATCCTTTCTGATTTAGACCCTCAGCAAGCCAGGAATAGAAGGGAACTTCCTCATCCTGACAAAAGGCATTTACAAAAACCTACAGCTCCCATCATACTCAATTCCTTAAGATGAGGAGAAAAGCAAAAATGTCCACTGTCACCACTTCTATTGTTAGAGGGTCTAGTCAGTGCAGTAAGGAAAGACATAAAAATAAAAGGTATTCAGATTGGAAAGGAAGAAGTAAAAATGTCTTTTTCACAGAAGATGTGATCATGCATGTAGGAAATCCTATGGAATCTACAAAATTATTAGAACTGACGGAAATGAGTTTAGCAAGGTTGCCAGCTATGAGATCAATATACAAAAACGAATTTTATTTCTATACAAAAGCAACAAGCAATAGGAAATTTTTACATATACGATTTAAAAGAGACCACTTAGTAAATCTAACAAAATATGGGTAATGCACGTACCCTAAAAACTACAAAACGTTTCTTAGAGGAAAAAACCACCCAAAAAACCACCCAAATAAATGGAGACAGACCCTTGCTCAGGGGTTGGAAGACTCCATAAAGTTCTAGAGGTCAATTCTTCCTAAAGTGATTTCTAGATTTGGTGCAATTCCGATCAAAATCTCCACAGGATTTTTTTTTTTTGTAGAAAATGACAAGCTGATTCTAAAATTCATATGGAAGCGCAGAGGACCTACAATACTACTTTGCGAATGGACAACAAAGTGGGAGGATTTACCCTACGTGATTTCAACGTCTATAATAAAGCTACAGTTATCAAGACAATATGTGCAGTATTGGTATTAAGACAGACAAACAGATCAATGGAAGAGAGCAGAGAATCCAGAAATAACCCGTCCATAGACCTAATAGTCAATTTGGAAAAGAAGTGCTGACCACCCCTAGCAGGGACATGAAGGTGGTAGGTGTGACCCTGGCACATGGCTGGCTCAATAACCAATGACAGTTTCCCACCTTCCACTCACCATTTTATTTTTTACAAACACTGAAGCCATTTATTTATTGAGTATGTGTACATTAAGAGGTTACTATACTGATTCTATTTCTCATGTGTTTTTTTTTTTAATAAGAACTTCATTTTTTAATGTTTAATTTTCGAGAGAGAGAGAGAGAGAGAGAGAGAGAGAGAGAGACAGAGCGTGAGTGGGGGAGGGGCAGAGAGGGAAGGAGACACAGAATCTGAAACAGGCTCCAGGCTCTGAGCACAGAGCCCAAGGCGGGGCTTGAACTCATGAACCGTGAGATCATGACCTGAGCCGAAGTCGGACGCTTAACAGACTGGGCCACCCAGGCGCCCCTCTCATGTGGTTTCTAATGAGAAAATGTATCCAAAAGCAAACAGCACACATATATACAAACTTAAAAACGAAGGCAAAGAAGATAGAGATGATTAGATAAGGCAAATGTGGGCATCGGGGTGGACAGGAGAAACAGAACAGAAACCGCTATCCTACAAACTTATCCTACAAACACAACCACGAGTGCTCAGCACCTGGAAGAGTGTAGAGCGCGGACGGATTACAAGAGGTGTCACGAAACTGGAGGAGATCCAAGGAAAACGCTGCTACAGAGATCAGGAGAGCGGGGAGCCCGCCATGTGAGAAGCTGAAAGGATAACTTACGATTCTTCAGCACAGACGAGTGAGGCCACACTTGCGGTCATTTTGAAGCATGGCCAACGCATTAAATGGCGTGGGTAAGAACGGAATATTATACCTTGCGTGCAAAACTGTACAACAGCAGCAAAAGGGAGGACTCTGGAGACCGTGGGGACTAACTGGGGACTTCGCGCCAGAGCGGGAAGTAAACTTCTGGCACTCACTTTAGGGAGCCGAGCTGGAGCCAGCGTGCACAACAGCGAACACGCACCCCCGCCCCCGAGGGTGGGAGAGGATGCCGAGACCCCGTCAGCCTCCTCCCCATCAGCCTCTGTTTCACTGAGACAACCCCAGCCAGTCCGCTCCGTACGTGCAGAGAGCTCAAAGCGACACTGCACAGGTGACCGAATCCACAGACGGGAACCTATTCATGAGCACGGGACTCAAATTCAGGATGGGTTGCCAAGAGGGACGAAACCCTCTGCCAGTCTATGTAGCCTCACCACAAACCTCTTTAGCACCAGCATCCATTTTGGACCCACTGAGGGGTTTCAATATCGTCACTCTCGGTATCAGTCGGCAAAGGGCAACAGTGACACTTCCCCACCAGGCCCAAAGCAGATGCTGGTGCTGCAAGACCTGACACGAGGCAGCAGCTCCCAGGACCCTGGATATTGGTGCTGAACCCCTCACAGGGACCGTCAAGTTGGCCTGGGCTCAGGCCCAAAGAGTCAGGCAGCACAGCAGAGGAATGGCCCATAGCTGTCCCCAACTCTGCGCAGGACAAATCAGGGTGCCTGGGTGGCTCAGTTGGTTAAGGATCCGACTTTGGCTCAGGTCATGATCTCACGGGTCCTGAGTTCGAGCCCCACATCGGGCTCTGTGCTGACAGCTCGGAGCCTGGAGCCTGCTTCGGATTCTGTGTCTCCCTCTCTCTCTGCCCCTCCCCTGCTTGGGCTCTGTATCTCCCTCTCAAAAATAAACATTAAAAAAAATTTTTTTTAAATAACAAAGGTGGCAAATTAAAGCTGACTTCCAGTGCCAGGCGCGGGCTACATCCATGCTGACTTACCAGGGCTTCCACTCCACAGGCAGTGGGGCCACAATGCCCTCCCGGGCCAGCCACATCAGTTCCGGCTCCTTGACGGGATCAATACCAATCTCTCTGGCAAATTCAAGAATTTCTGCAGGAAGAGGCGGGATGATGAGAAAGTAACAAAGTGGGGGATGTGGATGGAAAAGAGAAAAAGAATCACAGTCAACCTTGTGAAATAATAAGAAATACAAGTGTCGGTCTCCGCCCCCAGTTCCTGTTACTATTTGGTCTTTGACCCGAGGTGCTGACACAGAGCTCCTAAAACCCTCGGAATTTCCTGAGTAACAGAAGCCTCTTTTCTTCCAATCAGGTGACTCTGGGTGGGCTCCTGGATGGGGGCTGGTCACCAGAAAACCCGAGCCGTGATTAGAAGCTTGGAACTTGCAGTTTCACCCCGATTCTCTGGAGAGGGGAGAGGGGCTGGAAAAGTGAGTTGACGATCGATCATGACTTGGTGAAAAAGGCTCTATAAAAATCCCTAGACTACAGGGCTCAGAGAGCTTCTGGGATGGTGAATACATCCACGTGACCTCACCCTACGTATGTCTTCATCTGGCTCTTCAGCTCTATCCCTTATCGTATCCTTTACTGTATGATAAACTGCTCAACTTAAGTGTTTCCCTGAGTTCTGGGACCTGTCCTAGCAAATTATCAAACCCAAGGAGGGGGACAGGGACTCTGGTGTATAGATCGTTGGTCAGAAGTACCAGGGACAACCTGGGACTTGCAACTGATGTCTGAAGTTGGGGACAGTCTTCAGACTATGACCAAGCCCCTAACCTGTGGGATCTGATGCTCTGTCCAGGAACTGAAGTGGAATTGTAGGACACACAGCTAGTGTCAGAAACACACACACACACACACACACACACACACACACCTGGTGCCAGCATTTTGAGTGTGAGAATAAAGGAAAAACAGGTTTTTTTCCTAGACAACTTTTTTTCTCCTTCACCTTTACTTTCCAAGTTTCCTTAAGTGAGCAGGTGTTATGTCTCTAAATATAAATAATAAACATAAATAATTCTGTCTTCTTAAATTACAAACGACACACCCGAATCCAGGCATGCTATTGCCGTACTCCAAGAATGTAATGCGAAGTGGAGTATGACAAAGGCAAAACAATAGGACCAAGACGTCCGTGTGGCAGGGGCCTCAGGAAGACCCCCCAAGGCCGCAGCCAGAAGCATCCTGAATGAGGGCAGCCTTACCGGGACACAAGCTCCAAAACCCTGGTGCAAAAGTGCCCGTCACTCAGTCAACAAGCATGGACTGAACAACCAGAGAAGACTAAGCCCCTCGGGGACCTTACCAACACATGAACAGAGTACAAACCGAGGGATATGTGCTTTTAATGGAGATGTGCACTGTGCGCCCCGGGAGCAGAGGGAAAGCGCCCGAGGCGAGGGGAGAGCTGAGCTGAGAAAGTGAGATGATACTCGATCAGCCTTGTTCTCCACTCTCTGAAGACTCTTACTCCATGAAGGGATTTGTTTCTTTTCCACTTCTGTGACATCCTATGGACTCTAATACTCTCTGGGAACCAAGCATAGAAAGCTCTTTCGCCAGAGATCTGGAGGAACAGGGGAGAGATACATACTGAGCTAAGAGCGACCTCCCCTACAGGGGAAAAGGCAGATGAGCTAACTGCTGGAATAGGTCACCAGAGCCACCAGGAATAATGAAATAAATACCCCAGGGACATCAATGCTCCAGCTGATAATACCCCTGGCCAGAAAGGCAAAACCAGTATGGGTTCTCTCAATAGAGAATGTGGAGGCTGGCATACCTGGGGACTAGAAAAGAAAAAGCACTTTTTCAAAGGACCAGCTGAAATTTGGCTAGCCAGAGACTTATTCACTGATTTCACAAATAGTTCTTGAGTGCTTCCTATGTGCCGTGAGTAAGAGAAATGGTCTCTTCTAGTAGAACAACCAGTAAAGAAGTAAACAGGGCACCTGTAAACGGTTAAGCGTCTGACTCTTGATTTTGGCTCAGGTCATGATCTCAAGGTGGTGAGATCAAGCCCTGCATCAGGCTCTGTGCTGGGCATGGAGCCTGCTTGAGATTCCCTCTCTCCCTCTCCCCCATACTCTCTTGCTCGCTCTCTCTCAAAAAAAAAAAAAAAAAAAAAAAAAAAAAAAAAAAAAAAAAAAAAAAAAAAAAAAAAAGAACAGATAAATATACAAAAAATGATAGCTTCTGATAAAGGCAATAAAGGAAGTAAATGACATATGAGAGAGAGAACCTCAAGGTGAAGGGGGCACTCGTTTAGAAAGGGTCAAGGGAAAACTCTCAGAACGGAACACAACTGAAACCTGTAGGAGACAAGGGATCTGGCCATGCAGAGCACTGAGGAAAGAGCACTGAGGCAGAAAAGCAGGTGCAAAGGGCCTGTGGCAAGCAGCAGCTTGGCCCATCTGGGGACTGTCAGAAACGCCATGGGACTGGCAGCGAGGAAGGGAGAGTGGCACCACGTGAACCTGGCCAGGTGACAGGGCAGAGTCACGCAGAGCCCTGCACACCCCATTAAGAGTGTTATGCTGAGTATAACGAATACTACTAAAAGCAGAGTCCTGATGTGATCTGCTTTACGCTGTAAGAACAACACTCCGGTGCGAGATGGAGCACCCCTGCGAAGGGCAAGGGTGTACACAGGGAGGCTAATAGGAAGCTACTGACAGTCTCAGGAGAGAGATGGTGGCTTGAGCTTAGACCGTCTAACCCTGAACTGAGCAGAAGAGAGTTTTTCTAAACATCCTTAGATCATTAGGTCCCCATTCACAAGAGAAAACAAAAAAAAATACTTAAGAAATACACTGAGGAAGAAATGTGTAAAAACCTGCGTGAAGAAAACTTTAAGTCACTCCTGAAAAACACAAACAAAACACAAATGGGAAGGAATACCATGTTCTTGGGCAGGGGGAGACTTCATAAAGATGCCAATCCTCCCTAGGTTCTTTCATAAACTGAACACAATTTTCTCCAAAATGCCAACCGTTCTCCCACACAGAGCCCTCCCCAGAACCAGACAAGGTGATTCGCAAGTTCCCAGGGAGGTAAGACAAGATAAGCACGAAAACTTGGGTAGGAGGTGTGGGGAAAGCCACGAGGGCATATCAGCCCTCCTGAAAAAGAGAATTTATTACCGAGCCTCAGTAATTAAGAGTATGGTGCTGGCGTGTGAACGGACAGTCCTATGGGAGATAAGTAGGCAAAATACACACGCTGGCACCTACTCAGTGGGGGAAAGATGGCCGAACCGTGCATGGTGTGGGGACAAACCCAGAGGAAAACATGAGAGAAGTATTTATCCGTGCAGTAGCGAAGGAAGGCTTTTCTGACTATGATACAACATTCCGAGGTCATGTGAGAATGGACTGATACATTTAATGTAAAAATGTTGAATTTTCATACAGCAAACAAATAAAAATCCTATGCTTTATGCAAAGTGCGGGGGCTCTGGGAGTGCAAGATTCCTTCCCTCTCTCTAACAGGCCTGCAAACCTCCTGAATTATGTGCCCAGGTCCCTGACACATGACAATTTCAGAGGAATCTTCACCCCTCAACACAGCACAGAGCTTCAAAGTGCAGGCCCTTTTGTCAGGATACCTAGGTGTGGGTCCCAGCTGTGCCACTCAGTACACCTGTGACTGGAGGAAAATGATTTAACCTTTCTGTGCCTCAGTTTCCTCATCTGTAGAACGGGAATGATAATAGTACCTAACTCATGGAGTCGCTGTGAGGGTTGAAAAGGAAATACAGGTGAAGTTCTTAGCACAGAGACTGGCACGTAGGAGCACTCAATAAATTCCGTTATTATTGTTAATAAAGTTATTGTTGTTGTTTAAAAAAAACACTGCTTTAGGTATTTTTTCTTAAGAAACTGGGTTACCCCTGGCCTCAGGACACAATGTATTTCATGGTATCTTCTAACATATTTTCGTGTATATTTTTTAAAGACGGACCTTTTTTTAAGATTTTATTTCTGAGTCATCTCTATACCTAACATGGAGCTCGAACTCACAACCCTGAGATCAAGAGTCACACGCTCCACCAACTGAGCCAGCCTGAAGCCGCTATATTTTCATTTAAAGTTAATCATCGGGGTGCCTGGGTGGCTCAGTCAGTTAAGCATCTGTCTCTTGATTTCAGCTCAGGTCACAATCTCACAGTTCGTGGGATTAAGCCCCATGTCCGGCTCTGCACTGACAGTGAGGAGCCTGCTTGGAATTCTCTCTCTCCCTCTCTCTGTCCCTCCCGCATGCACACACACGCGCTCTCTCTTTCTCTCTCTCAACATAGATAAACATTTAAAAATAATCACTGATCTAACCCAAGGCCAGCAAGCTTTCTCCGTAAAGGGCCGGACAGTAAATATTTTAGGCTTTGTGGGTGATACGGTTTCTCTCACAACTACTCAGCACTGCCCTTGTACCACGAAAGCGGCCACAGACAATACATAAGCAAATAAGCATGGCTATTTTCCAATCAAACCTTATTTACAAGAAGGCAACAGGCCAGGGGAGGCCCATGAGTTAGTTTCCCAACCCCTGATCCAACCAAATATACCAAACAGCCCTGTACATGTACCAGATTCGTATCAGAACAAAATTAAATCAGAGACCATTCCTGCCCTCAAAGAACTATTATAGTACACCCCAGGCCTCTTACCTTGCTCACTGGGGATGTAGGTCTCATCATAATCCTCCTCCAGAACCAGCTGGTCTCCTATGCGGATGGGTCTCCCGGCCATGACTGGTATGGGCTCGAACACCTACGTCCTGGAGACCCCCATCCAAAGAGACAATCAATGACCCACCTTAAAAGGAGAAAAACTGGAGCCCGGTCCTGGAGCCCCTGGGTCAGACCAGACCCTGCAAGCCAACTTAGCAAATCTTCCAGACTCCAGGGACAGCGCAGGGTGGAACAATGGCTCAGAACTCAGGCCTCACAGACTCTGCGCCTCGTAAAGTTCCCTGAGACGCATCTCCCAAACGCTTGCTGAGTACTCAGCGTGTCACAAAAGAGCTGGAAACCCAGGTCTCTCTCTCAAGAGTGTGACCTCATATCCCGCCCCCCACCCCCTAACTCACAGTATAGGACCCCCAGCAAGAAAACCCTAGGGACACCAAAAGGGCGGCACACCCTCATCCCCCCTGATGGCAACGTATCCCAGTGCAGCCACACTACCTTCAACACACATCCCTATTTACACCCAATGATGCCCTCAAGGAGCTTACAGTCTAGGGGAAGTAGCACACACAACTTCAACAGCAGAAGGCAGAAGGGGAAAAATAACCATCCTGCTCCAGAAGTACTAAGAGAGAAGGAATATATTCCCGCTGAAGGGGGAAGGAAGGCTTTGTACGGAGCTGGGTACCAAAGGCAGACAAGAGTCACGTTGGTGGAGAGAGCGAAGCTGGCAGAGGGGATGTCGGGTGCAGACAAGGTGCTCTGGAGTACGGGATACAGAACGCGGGGCAGGGGCTGGCGTGGAAAGCTAGGTCACGGAGAGCCTTGTAGACCGTGTGAAAGAGTCTCCACTCTCCCCTGCGGCAAAGGGGAGCCACTGAGGGCTTTGGTGAGAGAAAGTGGCACACGGCGGCCTTTTTTCAGGATGTGAACTCTGGCAGGGACGGATGTCAGGACTGGAGAAGTAAGACTGGTGTCACGAAAACCACGGAGGCAGCTGCCATCCAGGTGAAAGACGATGAGGGCTTAAACTAGGGCAGAAGCAGAGAGAATGGAGAAGGGGCAGATGCTGTGATGGCAGGGTTAATAGGAGCGGGATGGGATGCAGGGTGGAAAAGAGTCCAACTTGAGTCCAAGGTTTCTAGCTCCGGGGATGGGACAGCGTCGAATTCAAATTCTTCAACTGACAAGCTCATGCCGTTCCCTGCTCCTCCCTCCCAGGTCACAACTCTCCCGTTCTGGCACCTCCCACACTGAGGCTCCCAGTGACGCAGAGGCAGGTCCCCCTGTAAAGTGGCTGCTGGAGTGCGTCCCCCACCTGAGAAGGCATCACCTCGCTGGTATGACTGACGGGAGTCTAGAGAAACAAGCCTGACCTCTTCAGAAGCTGTCACTGTTCCACCTGGAACAGCAAGCGAAATACAGCCCTCTTACAGCAGGGGAAGTGAACAGAAAGACCCTGTCATCAAAAAAGGAGGTTGGGGGGGGAGGGTGCCTGGGTGGCTCAGTTGGGTTGGCGGCCGACTTCCACTCAGGTCATGATCTCGCGGTCCCTGAGTTCGAGCTCCGTGTTGGGCTCTGTGCTGACAGCTCAGAGCCTGGAGCCTGCTTCGGATTCTGTCTCCCTCTCTCTCTGCCCCTCCCCTGCTCAGGCTCTGTCTATCTCTCAAAAAAATAAATAAACGTTGAAAAAAAAATTTTGTTAAAGGAAGTTGGGATGTGTCCTGTAATGAGTGCTCAGGAAATGGCCAGGTCTGGTGGCTCTGAATCTGTTCCAAGATTGCTGTTTCCTGATAAACAGCAAAGGATATATGAGGGATCGTTCCTGGGGCCCTCTCTGTACCCTGAGAGTTGACAGATGGGCCAGGAAGGTATCTTGCCTTACGACTCACAAGGAACGGCTCCCTCTGTCAGTCCAACGGAGCCAAGGGAGTGAGGCTATGCCCCCTCTCATTCCCACCATGACACCTCCAAGCAGCAACTTCATGCCTTAAGAAGAAAGGCTAATGGAAGAAGCATTCTCCTCTACGGTGCGTAAACCCAAGTGGGGATCTGTGCCCTACCCTAAAAACCCCTAACACCCTAGGAGCCCATAATGTTTCCTCCACACACACAGAGATAAGCAGGGCCACAGACTCTTAAAAAGCAGAGCAGAGAAGCACCAGGAACCAGGGCAGCTGATGTGGCTTAATGAGCCACAGGAATCTTGAATTCTCTAAGTTAGGGAGGAGAGGGAAGGAGAAAGGGAAAGAATCCCTGGGGAAGGAGGAATCCCTAGCGGCCTGAACACCGGGGCTAGCCGATGTTCAGTCCAACAGGCTGCGACCTGTCACAAGGCACTGTAGCAACCATCTCGGAGCATTCGTGAAATGTTTCACATCCCTAGATACACCCCATCTCCGGAAAGCATCGGGCAGGTGAAATCTCTCTGTGGCAGGATGCCCACTTAGCTATATCGAAATGTCAGGAAGAATCTGGAAAACCCAGAATCATGGGTCACTCGAATTTCACACAAATCTTCCACCGAAAAAGATCTTCTGTGGGTAAGGACAGGACCAAAAGGGCAGGAACCACAGGAAGGAGGAGGTGGTGGGAAGAGAAATCATTTGCATTTAGTGGCTACTAGAGATCATTTATTCATTCGAGAAATGTTTATTGAGCACCTAAGTTTACCTTTTTTCAAATGTTCATTTATTTTGAGAGAGGCTCGTGCTGACAGCAGCGAGCCTGATGTTGGGCTTGAACTCACGAACCACAAGATCACGACCTGAGCCGAAGTCTGACACTCAACCAACTGAGCCACCCAGATGCCTCTAAGTGTACCTTTGGCTGGGCACTAGGGATGCAATGAAGAGTAAAAACACCTGCACACTAGCAGAGCACACATACATGCACATTTGCACAATTAGGGTTCCCTGTATAATTACTGCTTCCAGTCTGCCTCAACAGTTATAAAGAAAGTATAAAGGAAAGAAAAGATTTCCTGGAGATGGCACTGGGGAGAAGGTGGAAGACACTGTAAGTGATTAGGTAGTGGGAACTGAGCATAGGTTTGGGAACATTACTGGCTTTGAATCCCAGCTCTGCCACTTACCGGCTGGGCAAGGCACCTCAGTTTTCTCACCTGTAAAACGGAGAGAATGATGTCTACCGCCATTGACAGGAGAATTAAATTATCCAGTATATGTAAAATACTTAAAACACAGTATAATCTCAATAAATGTGAGTTGCTGTTGTTATTACTATTTACATACATGAAAGGCTTATTCTACATTGTTCCAGAGGACAGATCTAATACCAGGGAACATAAATGAAAGCCATTCGGACATTCAATGACCACTTACTGAACACCTACCATGGGCTGGCACTGTGCTATTAGGGGCTACAGACGTGATTACACAAGGTCCTGAACTCCAGCTGACCCTAGCTGAGAAGCCGAACATGATTATATAATGTGTTAAGCACATTAAGGGAAGTAACAGGGAATACAACGGGAAACTAAGGTAAGGATTGCAAATGTTACTTTGGAAGATCAGGGAAAGCATCACAGAGTCCAGGACCAACGAGATGGCTCTTAAAGAATAAGCAGGAGCTCACCAAGACGAGGGAATAAGGGAATATAAGGCAGAAGAAACAGCCTGGACAAAGGCAAAGAGGCAGGAAAGAATATGGTGGGTGCAGAGAATTCATTTTGCAACAAAAGCTTAGATTCACTGAACACTTCCTACGTTCCAAGAACTGTACTAATACACCACATACATCATCTCACCTCCTCCTCTCAAATAGGTAGAAATTGTTTTCCCAGGGGCGCCTCGGTGGCTCAGTCAGTTAAGCGTCCGACTCGTTTCGGCTCAGGTCGTGATCCGCGGTGTCTGAGTTCAAGCCCCTCATCGGGCTCCGTGCTGGCAGGTCAGAGCCTGCTTGAGATTCTCTCCCTCTCTCAAAATGAACTTTTTTTAAAAAAAAGTTTAAAAATAAAAAAAGGAAATTATTTTCCCCATTTTCAAATAAGGAAAGTGAAGCTCTGCAAGGTTAAATAAAAAAGAACTTGGCAAGTTTCCAAAGGTTAAAGGCACAGCAGAACATGCATGCGCCCGCGTCTGTGGGACCCCAAAGCGTGAGCTCTTAACCACTCGGACGTGACCAGAACACAAGGGGCAAAGGGAGGAGCGGCAGGAGAGAGATCTACAGTGGAAGGCAAGCAGCACAGTCTAAAGGGCTGGGAAGGACTGAGGTTGTATCCTGCACATGGTGAGAAGCCATCACAGGACTTCACAAAGGAGACTGGCATGGTCAGATCTGCAGTTTAGAAAGATACTCTGACCGCTGCATAGGAACTACTTTGAGGAGGGCAAGAATAGAAGCGGAGGGAACAGTTAGGGAGCTTTCCTGAAAGCACAGGCAAGAAATTATGAACGAAGCCAGCGGCTGTGAGAATGGAAAGGAAGGACCAGACGCTCAGGGTATTAGGAGGCGGAATTAGAGGACCTGAAGTCTGCAGCAAGTGAAGGGCAGGGAGGAGGGAAATCAGGGCACTTCCGCCGGTCTGATTATCTGCACTCTTCCATGCCTTGCCCAACAGCCCCACCTAGCATGCTCCCTAGAATATAGGAAATGCCCATCAAATGTCTGCTGCCTATAGCAGCTGAATGAATTCCAGGTGCAGACCTGGCTGAGTGAACAGGGGAGTCCTTCACTGACACAGGAATACAAGGAGGAGGCACAGATCAGGGGCGCCAGGACGGTGGGGGAGGCATGTAGGTGGAGATGGTCAGTAGGCAGGCCTGAGCTCAGGAAAGAGATCTGGACTTGAGCCCACTCTAGTTAAATGAACGTCTGGGCGAAATCACCCAGAGATGGGCTACGGTGAGTAGAAAGGGGAGAGGCCTGCACAGACAGCTCAGTTAGGAGACCCAGGAGCGAGGAGTCGTGGAAGCCAAGTGAGGGCTGCGGTTCCAAGTGGAGGAGGTAGATTTTTCAATCAATGCAAGGAAAGGAAAAAACAAAACCCCAAAACTTCCTGACTTCCCCAGCTGACCCAAAGACGTCAGAAGGTCGGGC